ACCTACTCAAAAAAGCAAGCCCTTCTTAGAGAAGTATAGCCCTCTTCTACTAAGACATCTTCCTCATCCCGTTCTTCTTTATTCGAAGATGCCATTAAAAAAACATTTTCATTCAACTCTTTTCTTTGCTCTCCAGTCCTCTGTCTGGAAGCTAAAAGCCAGTCAGAAGCATTTTGATTATCACGAAAACTTCGAGAAAGAGCAGAAGAGGTCGCTATTCCAGGCAAAGCTGCCACTGCATTCGAAGGGGTGGCTGGAGAAATCGATGCTGTCGCAGTAGAACCCGCCTCATTCTCATCCTCTTCCACAATTGGAAGTGGAACTTTTCCTAATCCTATCGTCAGGGGACTGGAGAGGCGAATTCCAGTAGGCCCTAAATAATGAAATAGTCATCAAATAATAAGATATGAACAGTAAAATTATATACAGATTAAGAAATACAGAGAAAAGCGACCAAACGTGGAAAATTTTGAAGTTGTAAAGCATTGCTTTGACCTCATTATGGCAACTTGGTCGGAGCGACAGTAAGGCATAAATACCAGCTAGGTATGCTCCATAAAATTGTATAATTAATCATAAGGTCTGAGGTATTCACAATGATCAATGAGGTGAAGGAAACTAACTTTTTCATTTAAAGGCAAGGATTTTGCAATTACAAATTATGAACGATTTGTATTGGCAACTTAATTTTCCTAGTAGCCCTCAATAGATGTAAATATAGGCAGTGCCTCATTATAAAAAAATTAAGAAATAACTATATATGGGAATATATGTTTAAAATCTGGTTTTCGAAAAAGGGGGCTAACAAGATGAGCAGACGTTTAACAACAGAATCAGTAGATTTTCCACTTACGACCAAGTAACGGGCACAAAGTGTACGAATTCTATGTCGCATGTAAACTAGGTAAAATTTGGTAAAACGAGGTAGGCTCTTAGGCAGTCAGATTTCACAGTCAGAGTGATTTTCGTGTTTAGTAGCGACCAATTGGTAAGCGAGAAAGGGGGCTGAATTAAGGTCAGGAGCCCTGCAAACGGCATCTAGAACCGGTGATTAAGATGAGTATGCTTTAGTAAACCTACTTATAGCGACCCACTCTTAGGTGACATTGGAGGAAGCGGGAATACACATAGAATAGATAGATGAGGTTGAGGGATAAGGTAGAACAAAATAATTAAGGCAAGGAGGGATGACATAACGATTGAACATAAAATTGGTCGAGGAGATTGCCTTCGCTTGGCCCTTTGATAGATTGTAACTATGTGCTGATGACGCCGGCTAAACGTTTGAGAATATAACAAGTCAATGGCCTGATGCTAGAATACTATGGAGGACAGAGGACTAGATACGTTCCACAAAGTCTCTCTGACGCTCCGATCAAGTTGCGAAAACGATGACGAACCAACACTTAAACTGGGCAAGATTCATGCATTAAGCTATTTGGCCTGAGTAGTATAGTCGGGTATCTAGATTAAATCTAATACACTTCCCTAGCCGAGTGGCTGGAGCTGGAATAGACTCTCTTAACCCTTTAAAGCAAGCAAAGAAGTTTGACTTTGTCTTCGCAACTCGGTGGTTTATTTAGGATGACCTGAAAAAGCATGGCCAGAAGACGCTAAAGAGGGTATGTTCTTCAGGTTTTTTTCCAACCGTATGAACATGTCGCAAAAAAACAAAGTTAAGCTACTTTCATAAATAAGTTAATCTCAAAATTAGATTCAAGGCTCGATTTAACAGTGGACAGA